AATAATTGATCAATTAATTGAATTATGAAATGGGATAGAGCTATCGGCAACATATAAAAACTCTAGTGGTAAGACCATTTGAGTCACAGTAATATGCTATTCTTATGACATTCCTGTTACAAGAAAATTATGTGATCATATATTTACATATGTGGCTTGTTATAGATGTTTAAAAAAGGCTCAATATGATGATTGTAATCAACCCAATTTTAGAGGATTTTCTGATATTAATAATTAGTTTATTGAAAGAGATATCAGTCAGATTTGAAAAAATGCATACAGGTGGTTGGATTGCAATACAAAAGATGCTAGAAAAATTCATGTTCGCAATACCTTGGTATGTTGGTCTAAAGTATACTGCCTCTAGTATTTTGATTCTGTATGATTCCTTGTAATAGATCCTATGCATTATTTGTTCTTAGGTATCGCTAAATGGATAGTAATGTGATTATAGATCAAAGAAAGGTGATTAACATAAAAGAACCTGGATATAATACAGAATAGGGCAAAGCAAATAAAGGTTTCAGCTGATATCAATAGAATTTCATATAAAATTTCAACTGGAGAGGGTTTTTCAGGATTTACTGCAGACCAGTGAAAGACTTTTATCTTGGTCTACACTACTTCTATTACATGAAATTTACTTCAAGAAACAGATAGAATGATTCTTACAAATTTTGTCTGTGTGTGTAACATACTTGTATGTAAAATGATATCTAAAAATAAATTAAATGAAGCTCACCAGTGCCTTTTAATAATGGTAAAGCTTATCGAAGAGAATTATGAATCAGAAAAAATTATGCTGAATTTACATTTATGTTTACATATTTGTTAATGTGTATTAGACTATGGTCTACTATATACATTTTGGTGCTTTAGTTATGAATGAATGAATAGTTTATTGGGTAAATATATGCTTTTATATTTTATTAATTATTATTTAATATACACTATTATGTCATTGAAATATTTTATTTTGTCTTACAGGCTTATATTATACTAGTAATAGAAGAATTGAACCAGAATTATTGAAAATGATTCAGCATAACTCTCTCTTTGACCAGTTTTCATCACACATCCAAAATCATACACATTTATCAGCTTGCTTACCATTAATAACACCTAAAATAGCTACTGGTAGTCTTGTAGTTCAAGATGAATTTAATGGAATGGACTACCTAGAATTCTTATCAATGTCTAAAAATGTGAAATAAAGAGCAGGAACAGGTTCAGAGCCCTTTTTGGGCAATTTTCTTAATCCAAAAAATATAGACACAAACCTTACGAAGGAAACATTAGATTTGTTAATTGAATATTATCGCAATGCTTATAATGAAGATTTTGTGGCTTTGTCTGATATTCATATTATGCAATCTAATGCTATTCCAATATTTCTGAAGATAAATATTTATGGGAGGTTACAACTTAGCACTGAAGTTTTTAGATCAACATATTTGAAAAGGTATATCAATTCAGCTAAGATATTATCACAATTTATCGATGACAATTCTAAGAATACTTATTCTGGTATTGTTCAATATTATTTTGAACATACTGTATATTTTCTGAACTTAAGAGAATCTAAAAAACATTCATTAGTATTTGTGAGATGGTATTTTCTGGCAAAAGGTCGTAAGACTAGATTCTATTGTCAAATTAATAACGATATTAGTTCTTGTAATATTGAATTATGAAAGAGTTTTATAATATTAATAGAGATTATATTATTCCTGTACATAGCATATTGGGTCGATTTGTCAAAGGTACTTTTTCAGTAGGCAAAAGAGATCCTTAAAAATATATGACAGTAATACCGATTAATAGAAAGATTTATATTTAATATATTATACTGCGCCATACGATATTTACAATAAATAAATAATTAAATTGTAACATTTAGTTAAACTAGGGGTGTGCTTCGAATCTGATCAATCTGGATATCCGGTCATCCATCCGAAATTTGACCAGATTCGGATTGATCCATTTATATCACCGGATTGATCGAATGGATCATCGGATATCTGGTGAATAAATTGGACGGTCAATTCGACTTAAGTAAGCATAAATTTTTTTTTTTATCTTTATTTTTTTTTTACAATAACGATAAATCTACGTATTACATCACTCAACACACAGTCAACACACACATACACACTCTCTCTCCCCTCTCACTCTCTCTCTCCCCTCTCTCCCTCTCTCCCTCTCTCCTCCTGAACCTTATACTCCAAATTTCGACTTGAACAGCTTGAATTCAAACGGTAAGTGCAAAATTCTTCCTTTTTTTGTCTTGG